ATTCTACCCCTAGCTCCACATGCTGTGCCGGCCCTGCCCCTGGGTGCACTGAGCTGGCCGCCAAGTCGGGGGATGGTGGCGCACGCCTCTAATTCCAGTGATGGGGAGGCTGAAAACAGGAGGTTCACTACAAACCTGAGCTGTGTAGTGAGACCCTGTACCAAATACATGAAAAAACATCATGTAAAAATCATGATTCTTTTAATAATTTGATATTGTTAGACACAAAGAATACATTTTAGGTCTGAAACTTCCTACTGTCACATTTATCATAATATTTTTGAGAATTTGCCTTTACACTAGAAAAAAATAAAATGTTCTACATTAAGTAATCACCATTTTGAATTATTTCAGCTTTTCTGGTTTTGCCATTTTGCTGCTGCTGAAGAACATAACTAAGGTTACACGTGATGTTGCAGGCCCCAGGACTCAGGGGCACGATAGCTTGTTATGCCTAGCACAACCTAATGTTTAATCCATTTTTCAAAGGAATTAATTGAAGCTTCCAAACAAGAAAAACTGCATGATAATCAAGTAAATTTTGAGAATAATTTAGTTGGACAATCTTACTACCATCTAAATTATAATAAAATATTCTTATTTTATGGAGTGGTAAACTAAGGAACTGAGAATCTCAAATAAATGGAAAATAGTCTTACAGGTAAAGAAATTAGAACTGAGGGCAAATACTCTCTTTTGGATGTTTCTCAATGACAAATAACATCCCACAGTTCAAACTATATGATCTATTGACTCTGAAATAGTCATAATTATTAACTCATCCACTTATTTTGAAAAGCATCAATACAAGTTTAGCATTAACTTTCATGACACTAGCAAAATTTAATACTTTCACTGTTAAAGCTAACAAAGGTTTTCTAAAAAAGTATAATTTTTGGCATAGGAGAAAAATTTTCATAATCTGTTGTTGAACAGTCATGCTATATTAATTCTTGTTGTTGTTTGGTTGCATTTTGCAATACTGGTGATTGAACTCAGAACTCTGTGCTTGCCAGGCAGGTGCTTATTCTACCGAGCTATCTCTCCAGCCCCAGTTCTTTA